ATACTTAAAATGGGTACATTTTATCATATAAATAGTATTTCAATAAACTGGATTTATTTTAAAAATGTACTCTTTCCAGGTGATAGCATCAATATTGTGAAAAGCCTTGCCTTTGGAGCCAGAATTATCCGAGTTCAAATTTTAGTTTAAGACCTATGTGATCACTGTAAAATCACTTTGGGGGCTGCTTCCCCATACTTGAACAGCTTAGTAATCTCTGCCTCGTTTTGTTTTGGTTTTTTCCCCAAAATTAAATAAGAAGTGTAGGTAAGACACAAAGCATAACACCTGGCACAGACAAGGCACACTCCCGAGCTGAGTAAACCTATTAAAAAAAATTATTTTTGAAAATGAGTCAGTAAACACCAGACAACTAAACTAGCTTCTTTTGTACTCTCAAAATATTCTGACATTCTTTGTTTGCTGTTTATTGTGGTTTAACCTGACTTCAAGAACGGGCATCCACCGTCAGTTCCTGTGATTTCACAGTAACTTGGGTCTAACAGCAAGCACTGTGAACTGAAATTTCTTTAGAGTTTAGAAAAGTACTCCATGACAAATATGTTATAAAAGGAAAACGGAGAAGAGCCAAGGTAAAACATATCAATTTTCCCAAGCAAGGAGAATGACAATAATTATAGCATATTTTAATTATCTTTTATTAAAAAAAAGAAAGAAAGAAAGAAAGAAAAAAACCGACATAATTGGATGTTTTCCTCTTTTCAACCAGGATTTGAATTTTATCCAAACCAGCAGTCAACCAACAAATTTACAAAATGGCATAGCACTGGTATGGTATTTTACCTTATTTGTTTTTCATAACAGTAGTAAGTATTAAGAGATGATTAATATTAAATTTGTTTTTAGTTTACAAGGATCTTATGTTTGAGACAGATTAAGTGGCTTGCTCAAGGACACACAGTCAATAAATGTTAAAGTCTGGTTGTGAAGTCAGACATGTGGCTCCATACCACCTGTTTTTAGTAGAGATCACCATCAGAGAATCATCTTGGGTTCTATGAAATTCTTTTACATAACTCCTACGTGCTTTTCCCTAACTTGACATCTTTAGTTGTCTAAAAGAGAAATCAATTACCATGCGACATACCTACTTAATATCTAACCATTCAGGAATAACTGGCCGTTTTAGATGGTGGGGCTATGGCAAAATATGGGTTTATGATACTATCAGAAGTGAAAATTCAAAAGCATGGTTTCCAAAAGAAGAGCCTACAGAGTGACATAAATGGTTAATTCCTCACAGTTCTTCCTTTTTCCCACCCCAATACCCACATCACAGAAACATACTGATATCCACCTTCGCCAGGCTCTGAACAGAGCTCTGAAGAGGTAAAAAAGGGAAATCACACCATTTTTCCACATAAATATTCATACAATCACAGTATCGCAAGAGCAGGTAGTCTATCCTCCCAGGACGGGCTAACAAAATGGGTTATCTGTTCATCTTCTGTTTATTATGCAACAATCAACCCATAGGTGGACTTCAAGATCATAAATGGGAGGACATATGAAGGAAATGAAATTCCTTCCACTAACATCTTCCCCCTTCTCCTCATTTACAGTGGTAAGACAAGCTGACAATGACTCAGGAGCACTGCTTCCAAATGGACCCTGTCCCCATCAGTAATAACCGAGTCTATTCAAGTGCACATAAGCATTAACTTTAAAAGAAAGGATTATCAAAAAGTCCAAATTTATTCATCTAGCTTTGTCAGGTATGTTTTTTCTTCCATCTGTGAGTCTGATCAATAAAATTTTTAAAGGTTTACTATTACCCTCCATGTCTAACTTTGTACTCTCATTTTATAAGAAGACTAATGGAAACATGAGATTCAATATACAGAAATGTCCTGATTACAGGTTTGGTACTGCAAACAGTATAAACTGAGTTGGTATAACAGATTCAAATCACTGCTTCCTTCCGCAAATGGAGGCACCTTCAAAGGTGTTAGCTTGAAGGGGAAGTGAGCAATTTGCTAACATGACTGAACTGTGCTAACACTGAATTAACCCCCAGTCCAGGTCTATCTTAAACGAATTTGAAAAATGTAGTCATAATCCCCATCAATTATTTTTCAAGACTGAAGTAAAATAAAGTACAAAAACTGGAACTGACTAAATAACTTGGATATCCTATTGCAAGTGTTGAAAACAATCCATCTCTCACCATTTCCTAAACACTATAAATGCACAGTCATACCCTACCAAGCTACTCTGCAAATTCCACTCAAACACCTGTTAAAGTCAATGAGAAGATAACAGTTTCTATTAACATTCAGGTCAACTGAATGTTTTTTAAGAAAAGAAAAAAATTCATTCAATTGAAGACACTCAATTCTCAAAAGGATTCCTTCTTTATGAAAAAAATAGCTAAACCACTAAACTCAGAAGCATCAGACTTTTAAAACCGCTTTAAATCATATAAAAAGTTATCAAAATTATTATCGCTACAGCTACAGGTAAAAGGCGCCTACTTAATGTCTGGCACACTATTAAGTACCTCACATGGTTTCAGTTATTCTAAAGAACCCTGCAAAGTATGGTACTCCACCTTTTGGAAGGACACAGAAGCTCCGTGGCTCCCAACTAGTCAAGGAAGTGTGGGGATCAGAACTCAAATGTACCCGGCTTCAAAAAATGTGTATTCTTCAAAACTGGGCTACCTCCCCACTTCACAATAGAAGAAAAGACAGAGATATGAAATGATGTGTCCAGCAGTCTTAATCATTTCACCAGAAAACGGAGAAAATTAAATGAGAACCACATTGTGAAAACTCACAGAGCTCTATTTAAACTTCACTTCTTTTCAAGGAGTAATTAACAAAGAAAGGTTTGAAATCCTTTTAAAGTGAACTAAATTTCATCACAGACCTGCACATGAACTGTCATTCTGGACAAGTTCCCAGAGTCAGTGGTTCTGCAAGCACTATCACTGCTTAGTACAAAACACGTCACCAATTTCAAACGTGTAACACCTACCCTGCGTTAAGAGTCCTTCCTGGCAAAGAGGGGACAAAACTAAGAAATAAGGCCCATCACGGCCCTCAAAGAGTTAAGAGACTAGAGGAGGAGTCCATTTATACTACGTATACAGTTACCATCAGTCAGGCAGATAAATGAAGTGTGTGAGAAATCCTAAAACAGTATGTATAACATGGTATCACAGCTCAGAGAAGGAAAGCAACTGGCCTACTTGTCAGGCTTTGTTGTCAGTTCTATTTGTTTACATTAAGTCCCTCCCGGACAGCCCTTCCAACCTCTGCCAACCTTCAGCCACACAATCATCCCACACAGGCATACCCAACTGCACAACCAGGAAGAAAAGCTGTAAGGGCAAGAACCGTGACTCCTAAAAGTGACATTGTTGTTGTAGTTTAAAAGTACAATGCTTATGCCATAAAGACATTTTTCTTTAGCCTCATCAGGTGAAGAAAGTTGGTTTTTCAAAGCAAAATAAGGCCAACCCAACCAGCAAAACCCAGGAACACTTCCCCGCCTTACTCATTTCAAATGAGAAATCAATCAAACTGACACACAGAGTATTTCTCAAATTTTTCTTTTTAATTTAAGAGAGGGCAATGGGATATGAAAACAGGTATTAACACCTTCGGGTCATTCTGTTCCACTACCAACTTGACACTTAAGCTAGTTTCACTTGGGAGTCTTCAACATCATAAGCCAAATTATTCTCACATCATAAGCCAAGTGAATCAAATTCACTAGAATCGAACCCCAAACCTGACAAGGCTTGTGTCTCATGCAGCCTGAAAATCTCCCAAGACCGAGCAATACAAGAACTAGAACAGGAATTCATCTCAGCTGATCATAACGTCTTTACCAACTTGCAAAAAATCATCTTTCAAAAACTGCACGCAGTCGTTTGTTCTGACCTGGGCAATCCAACGGCTTAGAAAAAGAGAGTAAGATGCTTCTTCAGAAAACAGAAGGGGGTGTATTGGAATAAGAAAAAAAAAAAAAAAAAAAGCACACTTTTTCCTTTAGTTGTATATGCCTGAGGCAATAAACTCCAAAAATAACTTCACCCAGGAGTGTAAAAACTGAGAACGAACACCAAAATATTGCTCAATCCAACTTTCATTGTGAATTCCTCAGTTCACAGTAACACTTAAAAACTTAAACTGATGAAATCATTTTGCTGTTAAAAACTACGTATTCCCAAATAACAAAAAAACCCAAAAGTAAAAAAAAACCGTCTATCCTATCTCGTGGGGAAGAAAAATTGAGGGTTTTCCCCATTTTCTTTTAAACTTCTCATATTGGTCGACTTTGAAAAAAAAAATAGTATAAGTAAGCCAAAAAAAAAAAAAAAAGTTTTGTTAATGTTTTGTTTGGCCTCAAAGTATGGCTGCACTTGAACTCGGTGGAGAGCTGAACCCGCTGCACAGTCCCAGCGCGGGTCCCCTCCGGCGGCGTGGCCCCGACCCGCGCGGCCCGAGACGGGCGCGGAAGGCGCCCCCCGAAGGCGGGCGCGGCCCGGAATGTTTACCGTCCGCGTCGGCCCGGGGGAGACGCTCCCTCGCGTCCCGAGCACTTGTTCGCGGAGCCCGGCAACAGGAGGGACCCTCGAAGGGGCCGCGGCTCCCGGCGCCGGGGGAGTCGTCTTCGCCCGAGGGGCCCCCAGCGGCCGCGACCGCGACTGCGGCCGCGCCCCCAGCGCCGGGAGCGGCGGCGATCCCGAAGCCGGGCGGCGGGAGCTGGGAGGCGCGCCGCGGCTGCGGAGCAGACAATGAGCGAGGGGGCGACGCGGCGGGAGGAGGGGGCCGGGGGGCGCCCCCCACCGCCGCCCCTTCATCCCCACCCGCCCCTCCTCGCCCCGCGGCCCCGCCCCCCTCCCGGCGCTGGTCCCGGTAGCGGCCCCCAGGAGCGGCCGCAGGAGGAGGGGCCCGCGCGCCTCGCCCGCGACCCCTCCCCAAATCACAGAACTTCCCCCAACTCTGCCAACTAAGTTGCGCTCTCACCGTGCTGCGCCCGGGACTCCCCCGCGGGCCCAGCCGGAGCAGCTCCGCACCGTCGCCACCGAGAAGGACAATAGGCAGCCGCTCACCCGGCGGCGGCGACGGCTTGAGGCAGCGGCGGCCGAGGCAACGAGCGGGCACGGCGGTCTCAGCTGAGCCCAGAAGCTTCACCGCGGCTGCTCCGGCTCCGCGCTAGCCCTGCACGCAGCCCAACCCGCCGCGCATGCGCCACAAGCCGCTAGGGCACGGGCGGGGCACCTGGGGAGGGCGGTAACGCCTACAAGCCCTCCCGTGAGTAAGCGCGGAGACAGGGGCCGCGAGCTGGGATTGCACTGCAGAGCTGCCCATCACGTTCCGGGAGGCCAATAGGAAGGCATCTGGGCGGGTGCGTTCAGGTTGCTAAGGAAGGCTGAGGTTGCCTGCCGCGGCTGTGCCGCGGCAAAGTGATCGGAGTGGGGTGGCGGGCGGAGGTTTCGCAGGAAAGTGCCCACCCACCCTCTCCTCTCCGCCCTGTCTCCGGAAACCGCCCTGCCTCTGTATGCCGATGCTTACCTGACTGTAGCAGTTATCACACACGTACTGAAATGATTTACTCTTCTACTTCCACTTGCAATCGGAAAGTGGGGTTTAGTCTTCTGTGAGTCATTGTTAGGTATCCAACAAGTGTTTTAGGTGGATGTATCACTGGATGCAGGATGGCTCTCTGGCGGCATCAAGATTTTGACAGGGCATTCCGTGAACTTGTGGCTACTCGATCACAATCTACCAGTTTCAAAGGACCTCAGAAATCATCTGGTGGCTTCTGAGAAACGAAAAGTGGTCCACTGGGTCAATGAAACTTCTTCATTTTGATACGCGTGTGTCTGTGTGTGTGTTTCAGTGTGTATTTCACTGTGTGCTAGGAGGAAAAATGCCTGTCACAACAGACCATTATTTCATTGATGTTATCTCTTAGATCAAATAGAAAGCTATTTAAAAATGAATCTAATTAAAGAAAAATATTAAGTAAAAAATGACACTTTATATTCAGTTGAAGAACGTGCAAAATGATAGTGATTGAAGTCAAAACAGTGGTTACCTAGGAGTAGAAGGCTTATTGGCTGAGAAGGAGCAGGAGGGGTGCTGAAGTGTTCTGTATTTTGATCTAGATGGTGGATAACAAAGTTATAAAATATATGAAAATTCATCCAGCTGGGGGCGCCTGGGTGGCTCAGTGGGTTAAGCCTCTGCCTTCGGCTCAGGTCATGGTCTCAGGGTCCTGGGATCGAGCCCCACATCGGGCTCTCTGCTCAGCGGGCAGCCTGCTTCCCTGGCTCGCTCTCTCTGCCTGCTTCTCTGCCTACTTGTGATTTCTCTCTCTATCAAATAAATAAAAAGGAAAAATTTTAAAAAAAAATTCACCCAGCTGTACACTTAAGATTAAGTACACTTTGCACAGTTTAGACATATATTTTTTATGTTCGTTTAAAAAATACTGGTATAGAATATGGCAAAAGGAAGGAAGGGAGGGAGGGAGAAAGAGAGAGAAAGGAAGGAAGAAAGGGAGGGAGGGAGAGAGGAAGGGAGGAAGAGGAAGTAAACATGACTCTTTGAAAACCCTAATCCAGGCAAGCTCACCACGCGGACTGAATACCTAAGAGAGGGGTATTGTGAATATTTACTGTGTGTATCAGTCACTTCAGATGTGGGGAGGCTTTAAATCTTAGAACTGCTCCTAGTCTTGAGCTGTGATTTGCTTCCCTGCAAGTGGACCTGGTTCTCACATATATTTTCCTAGTTCACCCTCACAGAATGAAAAACCAAGGCCAAACATGCCCAGCGCTTCACGTGAAATTATTTTCCAACCATCCCATCGTGCTGCCCACCCTCCTCGACACTCACTCTAATCTGTCCTTGCCAAAATTTGAAAGAGGGTGTGGAGAAAGGACTCTTCTAGATCCTAGCCCTGACTGCCACTAAGGAACCCATCAAGAACAGGCCATTTCCCAAGAACCTCAGTCTCCCGTAGAGCAAGGGAGCTAACCCAGAAAATCACTTCGAGGGTCATATGTGATAAGCCCAGGGTCTTCTCCTAGAGCCTGGCTGCTCTGTTACAAAGGCAAGAGCAAATAAATGTTATCACGTCATCTTTCTAGTGACTACTGACAGTGTCATTCCCTGCTCCCTGCCTGGGCAGGACTGACCCCTTTCCCGAGGGCTGCACGCTGCATCCAGGGGTCGGAAGCCCCGCACTTTTCAAAATTTACTGTGCTGCAAACCACCTGTGCGATTTTGTTAAACGTGGATTCTGACTCGGGAGGTCTGAGGTGGGATCTGGAATTCTGCCTATCTAACAAGCTCCCAGGGGATGCTGATGCTGCTGGTCTGGGACCCTACTTTGAGAAGCAAGGGTCTTCTCTGAATTTTCTAGACAGCTGAGCTCTGCATCTTCTTTGGGAAGTCCTAAGGAAACATCCTTGGTACCCTACCTACAATAACCCATTCTCCACTAGTTCCTCTCATTCATATGACACAGAGTGTTCCATAGCATGTATCCCAGTCTGAAAATAGCTTATTTGCGTGTTTATTTTTCTCCCCCCATTATAATGGAAGCTCCCTGGAGTCGGTTTGTTTACCAGCCCCCCCCCCTTTGCATCTATCATAGTGCCTGTGGGAACAGGAAGAACTCAAAAGATCTGCATGAGTGAATTTGTACTGACCAAGCTATTGCGAGGGGTCCTCAAACTGAGTGTCCCCAATACTAAAGATTCATTCTTCCAAAGTACACCAAATATCTCCACCCAGTGTGCCCCATTTCATCAGAAATGGATGTAGTGTTTAGCGATTTCCTCACCTTCCTTGAGTAACTTTATAAGCCAAAGAAGGTGCCAGAGCCTTACAAAGCACTGGAAGGATTCTATATCTCTGTATTATCTGTCCAGTTGACTTACGTCTTTTCTTAACTTTGAAAATTAAACTGCCAGTTGTTTTACCAGCAAAAATACATTTCTGTAGGAACAGCACAGAATTGCAATTTAAGGCACACATGCTACAAGAGAACCACAGGCAAGTTGCACGATGAAGGACAGGAATGCTCTTTTGTAGAGAAAAGGAGGGAGCGGGGGAAGGCTATTATAAACAAAAAGTCCCATGGAGCAAACTGACAGTTCAAAGTATCCTGGCTTTTCATTGCCTGATTTGTGACAGCCTCTCATTGGCTGAGCTGTTGCCAGGAGAGGAGGAAACCCTTCCTCCTCCCGCTGGGATAGTAGAGTGTGTCCCTGTCTGGGCAAGGTCTGGCTCTTCCTATTGGAGCTGCAATTGACAAGGAGGGGTAGGGCCTAAGGTCTCCCCCTGCCTACCCCTTGACTCCATTCTAAGTGAGTTTTCCTTTTATTAATTTTCACACTCTCTGATGGGTTTATACAGGTTCTAATATCTAAAACTATAACAAGGATAAATTCCATTTTACAGAGAGTCCTTGGTAATGCCACAGTGAGGGAAAAACAAAATTAACCCAGTCATAAAAATATGAATTTCTCTTGAGACCATGGTTTCTAAAATGTCCGCTTGCGTAAAAAAAGAAAGCACTAGAACAGACTTTTCTCATGGCTGTTCTTTCATAGTGGAGGACATTTTAATGTTTTTGTGATATAAGTAGTACCCTAATGTTGCTTTGAGGTAATGACCACTTTTGGTCCCTTGGTTAGGGTGAAACCCACAACCCAATTCCATGGCTTCAACTAGCGATTAGACCTGAACCAGTCCAAGCATTATATACACAGGCAACACTTATTAGTTCAGAGTTGGGCACTTGACCCCAAACACACCAATGAAGGACAATAGGAGTAAATTCTACCCTCTCTTTGAACTGCCAGGGTAACTGATTTTGTTTTTCTCAAGTGGTACTTGAGGCTATGCTTGTCAGCCATCTTGTCGCCGTGAGGAAAGAATCTCTTCCCATGGAGCCAGCACTGTGGAAAGGTAGAGAAATGAAGAAAAACAATGTCTAGGTGACGTTGATTGAACTGCTGAATCTAGCAATATCTGAAGCTAGAAAAACACATAGACTTTTCTATCCTGTAAACCAATAAAGCCAGCCAGAGTGGAAGTTTCTGTCACTTGCATCCACAAGAGTTGTAGGTACCACAACACCCATGGGCTAATGATCACTGGTCCTCTCCCTGACTGGTTTCTCAATTCAATTAGCAAGTAGATTAGCTATTGAAAGTTTGTTGTGTGCCACGCCTCAGGCTTGGTCTTGGGATTAGAGATGAAGAACGTGGTTCTCGCCTTTAAGGAGCTCGCAGTCGAGTGAGGAAAGGGGGCAAGCAAACCAGCAAGGAATCAGAAGTTTAAGTACCCTCAGAGAATCAAATTCAGGGTCCTGGGGACACAGAGAGAAGAACTTCTGCTTATGGAGTGAAAGTTCAAGGGAGCCACTGGGAGAATGCGACGGTAAAGCCCCATCTTGGAGGACAATCAGCTGGGTAATGAATGGGAGGGTAGTAAGGGAGGCTGGGGTGTGTGTGCACAGGTAGCAGAGGACATTCCCAGAAAAGGAAGAGCGAATTCAAAGACATGGACGTGTCAGAAATACAGCACACATAGGAAACCAGAGAGGGAAGGAGCAGAAGGTAAAGCTGAAGGAAGTTAGCCAAAGCCGGCTGATGAAGGAGTACGTCCTTTATTCTGAAAGGCCAAGAGGAATCTTCAAAGATTTTAAGTAAGGCACCTGGGTGGCTCATTGGGTTAAGCCTCTGCCTTGGGCTCAGGTCATGATCTCAGGGTCCTGGGATCAAGCCCTGCATCGGGCTCTCTGCTCAGTGGGGAGCCTGCTTCCCTCTCTCTCTCTGCCTGCCTGTCTGCCTACTGGTGACCTCTCTGTCAAATAAGCAAATAAAATCCTTTATTAAAAAAAGATTTTAAGTAACAAAACAATGATAAGAACAGATTTTCATCTTAGAAAGGTCACCCTAAGTACCCAGTGCTTAGACTTAATGTAAGTGGGGCCTAAGGGTGAGGATGGGGACAAGGAAATCTCTGAGAGAAATCTGGCTCCAAGTAAGTGGTTTTCAGTCCAGGACTAAGTGTTCACCTCCTGGTGGGGAGAGGGAAGCTTCCTCTCTCAGTGTCAAGCCCAACGCTGTCTAACGTATGGTGAGCCATGTATGTGATTTAAAATTTTCTAGGAACCACATTTAAAAAG